GGACTCTGTTCCTCTCCTGTCCCAGGGACACCGGAGGTCACGGCCTGCACTCACCTGTGCAAGGTATGCTCTGTACAGAAAGACATCCCTTTCCACGTCTCTCCCTGGGCTTGATGGCTGAGGAAACAGAGGCCGGTCAGGACACTTGGGAGTTGGGTGCCAGACAGGTCTTCAGTAGAGGCCAAGAGCAGGCAGCGTCTCCAGTGGATTCCAGGCCTGAGTCCCAGCCCTGATCTTGTCCCACACGACCACCACCCCAGGAAGGGGCTCAATCCTCACCCCTGTTCGTCCAGGTGAGGGAAAGTGGAGCACCCACTCCCGCTGCACAGCAAGGGGCCAGGGTGGAGCCCACACCTTTAACCGCGGGACACATGGCCACTCATACCGACAGGGGCCCCCAGGGTGCAGCAGATTGAGACAGAAGTTGCTCGATGGTACACGTGGTCCAAGATGTTGGGGGGAAAGGCCCTAGTGCCTGGGTTTGTAAAAGTAGAGAACACAGGCCCACGAGGGTTCCCATCCAGAGGTGGACGGGTGATTCTGCAGAACTGATGAGACCCAGGAGATGTGCAAAGGGGACTTTATTTTTTTGTAGCAAATATTTCTATGGGGCATGTTCCTGTCTTGTTTTTGTCCCCAAACCCTCTTTAAACACGCAAAAGAGAAGAAACAAAGGTTTGCTTCACTCAGAGGGCTTCTCTAGGAGAGCTCAGCTGGGCTGTCCTGGTGCAGTGACATCGGTGTCCAGCCTGGGCCATGCCCCCCAGCCCCACTACCGCAGAGCTGGGGAGGTGACATCACACACTGGTCACTCTGGGACTGTGTCCCCAGCCAGGCGACGAAGTTATGGGGAGGCCGACCAGAGCCAGGAAAAGAAGAAGGCTCACAGGACTTGGGCAGAAGCCGTGTGCGGAGGGCTGGGCAGACCTCCAGGTCTAAAGAAACAAAAATGGCATCTTTCTGAACAAATGCTTCTCAGCCGTTTCCTGCTTGGGGATAGCTCGTCAGAATGACCTGAGAACAAAGCCAGGAGGCCCATACCCACCAGTGATGGCCAGCTCGAGTGGCCGCTCACCACTCCCAGACGGCTCAGAGGCGCAGCCAGGCCTGAGGATGAGTGCCATCGGGGGGCCAGGGATGGGGTGGGGGCTACTGTCAGTATGGTCACATTGGACCTTCAGCTTCTTGAGGCTGTCTTCACTGCTCTGTCCCCAACACCTGGGCAGTACCTATTATCTTGCAGGCACTTAAGAAATGTCTGACAGAGGAGCGCCTGGGTGGCTCAGCTGGTTAAGCATCAGACCTCGGTTCAGGTCATGATTTCACGGGTTCGTGGGTTCGAGCCCCGCATCGGGCTCTGTGCTGACGGCTCAGAGCCCGGAGCCTGCTTCGGATTCTGTGTCTCCCTCTCTCTCTGCCCCTCCCCCGCTCATGCTCTGTCTCTGTCTCTCAAAAATAAACATTAACAAAAAAAAAAAAAAAAAAAAAAAAAAAAAAAAAATGTCTGACGGGGCACCTGGGTGGCTCAGCCGGTTAAGTGTCCAACTCTCAATTTCAGCTCAGGTCACGATCTCACAGTTCATGGGTCCAAGCCCTGCGTTGGGCTCTGTGGTAATGGCACACAGCCTGCTTGGGATCTTTCTCTCCCTCTCTCTCTGTTCCTCCCCTGCTCTCTCTCTCTCTCAAACACAAATAAGCTTTATTAAAACAAACGAACGAACAAACAAAAGGAATGTCTGACAGATAAGGGAAAGTCTTAATGGCGACACAGCACTACATCTAATCACTACATCTATAAGGGCAGTGACCCACCACGTGTTCTACCTGGGGCCACCTCAGAGCTGGCAGAGCTTGGGGTCACTGTAATGAACTGCCATAAACTGGGTGGCCTGAAATAGCACAATTATTCTCTTAAGGTCCTGGAGGCTAGAAGTTCAAAGTCAAGGTGTCAGCAGGAACACACTCCCATCAAAGGCTTATCCTAAATGCCAGATGATCTCATCTAGAGATCCTTTATGGAATTATACCTGCCATGATCTTTTTCCCAAATGAGTCACATTCACAGGTTCTGGGTGAACATATCTTTTGGGGGATACCGTCTAACTCAGCACAGGCTGCCCAAGAGGGTTTAGGTGGCCCATGGACCACATCAAATGGCCCAGTGGGGACAGTATTCCCATTCTGGATGCATCAGGGAGAATGTCATAGTTTCGGGCCAGTGCGTGTTTCCCACGTCCCCAAAAAGGAAGCGGCTCCCTGGCTCAGAGGCTGGGCTGCGGCCTGCCTCCACCCGCAGTGACCGTCACCTCTTGTTTTCAGTCATTCCCTTAGTACAGGAGGTCACACTGGTCCTCCCTTTCAGCAGCGACGGAAAGTTTGCACGTTATGACAGGAGAAGACTCGAAAGAACGTATTGCTGTGATGTAAGCAGAACAGACGCACGAGAGGAGCCAGACAGCAGAGCATGAGTGTGACACTGAATTTCACAGTGACCCTAGTGAGACAGGTGCCATCGTTCCCGTTGGACAGACAGGGAAACAGGCGCAGAGAGGTACAGCGACTCAGGCCTGGCTGCAGAGAGTCGTAACAGGGCCAGAGGCTGAGCACGGGTCTGTCTCAGTCTTCTTACCGTCTATACTACCCAGCAAGGAGGCGGGCACACAACTGTGGTGGTGAGCCGAATAAGGGACACCCCCACCCCCCGGCCCCGGCCCAGTGAAGTCCGTACCAGGCCCTGGAATCTGTGAACAGCTTACATGTCACAAAAGGGACCTCACAAAGGTTATGGACCCTAAAATGGGAAGAGTGTGCCGGGTTACGGGGGAGGGCCCAGCCTAATCACAGAATCTTAATGGCAAGAACTTTAATAGCAGAGAATAGACAGAAATAATGCAGCAGCAGGAGAAATCCAAGCGAGCCCAAGTGTGAGAAGGATTCTGTGGCTGGTTCTGACGTGGGGAGACCACATGCAAGGTTGAGGACTGGAGAGGGGCCTCTGTGAACTAAGGCTGACCCTGGGGCTCAGAGCTAGCAACCTGAATGAGTCTGAAAGCATATGCTCCCCTAGGACCTCCAGAAAAGACAGAGCCTGGCCAACAGCTTGATTTTAGCCTGCTGCAAACCATGGAGAACTTCCCACCTGCAGAAACCGACCGAGAGATAATGCATTTGTTTTGTTGCAAGCCTTTGTGGCCATTCATCATGGCAACATCAAAAAATGAATATAATCAAACAAGTGTTATTTCACATGTAACAGCTTCCTGAAGCCATTTCAGGCGTTGTCCCTGTTATACAGATGAATGTCAAGGAAACCAGGTATACCGTCAGAGGTCAAAGGTCGGAAGCAGGAGAAAGGAAGCCTTCCCTCCTTCAAAGTCCAAATTCCTCCCAAGCCTCTGGCGGCCTCAGTGAAGAGCTCTGCCATTCCTTTGCTTGGTGTGCCAAAGGCCTCCCACACCTTCAGAATAAAATCCAAACCCCAACTGTGGCTCCCAAGGCCCTTCCTGTCCCCCTGCCCACTTCATTCTCCATCCCCCCCCTCGCTCACCCCACTTCTGCTACACCGGCCTTTTATGCTTTGACTACACAGCACTCATCTCTGCCTCGGCACCTTTGCCGCAATTTAGGGGGTTAGATGCTTCTCAAGGTTAAGTCTCAGGTTCAAATGACAGCCAGTGAGGCTGACAGGCCACCAGGGGCTTACCGGACCACTCCCACCTGGAGCGGCCTCCTCCCCACCATTTTCCAACTCAGCACTGTTTTGTTTTGTTTTTTTTTAAGAGAGGTGTATGTAGGTTTTTTTTAAGTTTATATATATATTTTTAAATCATCTCTACACCCAACGTGGGGCTTGAACTCAGAACCCTGAGATCAAGAATTGCATGTTCTTCTGACTGAGTCAGCCAGGCGCCCTTCGCTCAGCACTCTATCTCACCTTGCCCCCTTAAGCGCTCAAGCTGTTATTACATATTCACTCACTTCTTTACTTGTTTAATCTCTTTGGAACACTAGGCCATGTACAAGTTAAAAAAAAAAAAAAAAAAAAAAAAAAAAAAAGACTCCGTTGAAAATAGAACCACGAGGCCAGAAGGGGGCGCTCTCAAGCCCTGACATTCCAAGTCAAAAGCAGACCCCAGCAAAAGAGAGGTACCATGATTCCCCCCAAGAAGACTACACTTTAGTACCCCCACAGGAGAACGAAAGATCTCCTCCCGGGGTAACTGCCTAGCCAAGAAGAGACTGTCACAACTCAGGCAATGAAAAGCCACTACACTTCAAGCTCCCAGTTTACTCCAAAGGATTTTCTGTTTATAACAGCCCCTCTCAACTCCCCCCTTTCCTCTGTGAAAAAGCAGTCCTCTCCTTTGATCTCTGGACATGCCTACGGTTTTGCCATAGGTTACATGTCCCAAACTGCAATTCTCCCTTAATCCCCAATAAACTCATTTTGCTTATAAAATAGATGAGTTTTCTTTTTAAGGTTAACAACCATGAGGGCAGGCATGACCCTGTCAAGTTCACTGCTCTTAAAGACTCGCCAACGGTTCACTCTCAAAGTGTCTGTGACGTCCGTGTCCCTCCCTAAAAGTTCCTGCTAAAGGACCTGTCAGGCTGGGCCCTGCCTGACAAGGCTATTTTCTAGCTCTCAAAAGGCCAACCTCATTCCCATCACTATCCATCACACCACCCCCTGACTTCTTGTTTATTTGCTCAGTCACTGTCCCCCTTGGGAGCCTGAGCTTTCCAAGAGACCTCGGAGTTTTGTCACTGCTTTGAGCCCAGCACGAATACACCGCCTTGACCCACTGGGAAGCTCAATGAGGAATGAAAGAATGAATGGGCAAGTACGGGGAGATATAACCAGGCTGGTGGGGCAGGCAAAGTCGGGGAAAACATTTCTCTCTCGAGCGGCGGTGCTAGCCTTCCAAAATGACAACAAACAACAGTCCCTGCTTCACGAGTAACGAGGGTACGGTGGCACACGTGGGCCCTCCCCAAGCGAAAATTACTACTACTATTATTATTAATACAGTAGTACAAACGCCTCCCTTACTCAAATGCCTTCCATGGCGCAGAGCAAGCTCTCGGAGTGAGAAGTATCACAAACTGTCACGGCTTTGAGTTTTGTCATAAGAAAAGGGTAATTCCTCACAGCGCTCTGAAGAGATACGTGGCGGGGGGTGGGGGGATGCCGCGAGAAGAAGGAAGATTTTTAAAATCAGGGCGCGACCAGTGGCCACCAGGAAGCGGCTTTCGCCGCCACCTTCCCTCGCCTCCAAGCGGCCGCACCTTCACCCGCTGAGCCTCGTTAATGCACTGCTGGTAGCTGCCGATGTAGAAGGCATTCTTCACGTCGAACAGCTCGTCCACTTCCCCGGAGCCGCCAGAGGCCGAGACCGGAGCCGGAGGCGCCATATCGCTGTGGTCCCAGTCGTTCCCCTTCCGGAGGGACACGTCGGACGGAAGCAGGGATTCGCTGCAAAGCGCTCTGGGAAATGGAGTTTACTCGTTCCGGCCTGGAAATGAGCCAATGGGAGACTTAAAGGGGGGGGGTTAAAGGACGGGAGTCGCACGTGCGATCCGCAGGGCATCTCGGGAATTGTAGTTTGACTTGATCGCACGAGCCAGTGGGACTCGGGGAAACATAGTAAGCATGTGGTCGAGGCTGGGAATGGCAGAGTGAGCTAGAGGGGGTGGGACCACGCGGCAGACTACCCAATAAACTATAAGGTTTCCGTGACGTCATCGGTTCGCGCCGGAAAGCGCAGCTCAAGCGAGTGGTTCACCCGGAGCTGGCGGGGAGGATGGCCGGCTTCGCTTCGCTGGGGCTGTCATCGTGGCTCGTGGAACAATGTCGGCAGCTGGGTTTGAAGCAACCCACGCCTGTACAGCTCGGGTGCATCCCCGCCATCCTGGAGGGTAAGTGTGGCCCCGCCTCTTCCCCAGGAAACCTCCCCACTCCTATCGGCTCCCTTTCCTTCTCGCAGCCTTTGCTCGCGCCAGTTCCGCGAGTGGAGGGATAAGCTTGGACGTTACCGGCGAGCTTGGATCCCAAAGGTAGACTGGACGGTGTTGGCGTTCGGGCTGCACAGTTCACTCCCTGTGTGTCCATACACAAGTGATGTAATCTCAGAAACTTTCGTGACCTCAGAGCACAGGATGAATCGATACTGCTGGGAAAATTTGGTTGCGGTACCATCTTAATTTTACAAATGGACTCTGAGGTTGTCAAGATTGCTAGTAAATGCAGAACTCTGGTCCGGTGAATACTCTGCTCCCCACTCTAACGGCCCAACCCAGTTTGCCATGAAAGAGATGCCCTTAGGAAACCTTAGGAAGTGACGAGTGGAGGGATTAAATAAACAAAAATGAAGGAATAAGTAGGGGGCCTTAGGATGCAAATTGGATGAGGGCATTCAGGTTTTCCCAAACTCAGATGCTCTGTGAGGGGGTCAAAATGAGATCGTGGCATCTTAGGTCAGGTGGATGTAGGTTCCAGTCCAGCCTGCTACTCACTGGCTGTGTGTCCTGGGCGCATTTCTGAGACTCGTTTTCCCTTTCTATTCAATGGGAACAGTAATAGTCTCACCCTCCTAGGATTTGTCAGGATGCCTAGGATGTAAATGGCATGGGCCAGTATGGGCACATGGTAACTGCTCATTAAACATTGACTGTTGCAAACTCTGCCCGATGGAACATTTGTCTACACCTGGGGTGTGTTAATGCCGGTTCGCTCTCTACCCAGGTCGAGACTGCTTGGGCTGTGCCAAGACAGGCAGTGGCAAGACAGCAGCATTTGTCCTGCCCATCTTGCAGAAGCTGTCTGAGGATCCCTATGGCATCTTCTGCCTTGTCCTGACACCCACCAGGTGAGCACCCCACAGGCCTCCTGGGTGAGTTAACCATCTGTGTTCTCTTGGACAAGCACCTTTACCTCTCTTAGCGTGCTTTCCCTGTGTTTAAAATGGAGACAGAAATCATGCCCGCCTCTCACGGGAGGTATAGAATTAACAAGGATGATGTATGAAGACTGCTGAGTACAGGGCTTGTCTTACAGCAAGTGGCTGGACAGGAGCTATCAATAGTCTTATAGCCTAGGATATAGACACATCTCCTGTTCTTGGGCCAACAAATATGGAAGCTGACTTGGTAAGTCCTGTAACAGTCTGTAGGAGAGGTAGGCACTGCATGCTGTGAGGGTGTGGCCTGGAGAAGGGACAGTGGAGGAAGACTTCATTCATGGGGTGCCTTAAAGGGACAAGTTTGGGGAAGGATATTCTATAGGCAGAGGGAACTGCTATAGTGCATTTGTGCAGAGGTGTGAGAGAGGCAGGGAGCAAGTCGGCCTATGAGAGACAACTTGAGACAAGCCCAGAATGCCAGGAAGAGAGTTAGAATCAATTCTATGGGTATGTGAGCAGAACAGGGCAAGATGGAGGATAGGAAGTGGGCACATGGGCCAGGGAGAGGCCCGGGCAGAGATGGGGTAGAGAGGAGGGGACTTGGACATTGACCAGTCCCAGGGAAGAGGGGACTGACGCTTAGGTTTCAGGCTTTGGTGATTGTGGTGTCGAGGCCACTGCTGAAGAGGAGAGGCCAGTTTGGGTGGCACTGGAGGGAGAAGGGCCATGGGGTGTTGTGGGTCTCAGCTTGGTGAGAGGGCAGGGTCCACAACAGGGTTCCAGTGTAGTTTCCGAGCCTTTATCCCAAGGGCACTGGGAGCTATGGTGGGTGTGTGAGCAGGGGAGGACCAGTTGGGAGGTCTGAGACATACACATGGGAATGGGAAGCAGGCACAGAACCCCCATCTAACCCAGCCTGGCCCCTTCACATCCACAGGGAGCTGGCCTACCAGATTGCAGAGCAGTTCCGGGTCCTGGGGAAGCCTTTGGGCCTGAAAGACTGCATCATTGTCGGCGGCATGGGTACAGGGGGCCCAGGGAGGCTCTGGGTAGGGGACCCCTGCAGCCTCAGACCCCCCTGCCCAGACCCACCTCTCATATTCCACCTGCAGACATGGTGGCCCAGGCCCTAGAGCTGTCCCGGAAGCCACATGTGGTCATCGCCACACCAGGGCGCCTGGCTGACCACCTCCGTAGCTCCAACACTTTCAGCATAAAGAAGATCCGCTTCCTGGTGAGTCGGTCTGGGGCACTGATTCATCCATTTAGGACATGTGTCTCACAGGCCATCCAGTAGAGCATTAGGAAAGGGGTGATTAGGACAGCTGAGGGATCAACAAGAAGGGGACTAGCCAGGGTGGTTGGGGACAGGGCCTCTTTGAGGAGCTGAGATGGTTGAGGGTGCAGATGTCTGAGAACCGGAGGGAGAATGTTTCAGGGCCCCCGTCCAAGGCTGGGCAGGAGGCGTGTGGGAGGCAGGCCAGGCTGGGCACGTGATCAGGCCCTGGCCGGTGCCCTCACCCCAGCTCCACTACTCCCTGCCCCCCGCCGCCTGTGCTGCAGGTGATGGATGAGGCCGACCGGCTGTTGGAACAGGGCTGCACTGACTTCACTGCGGACCTGGAGACCATCCTGGCAGCCGTGCCCACTCGCAGACAGACGCTGCTCTTCAGCGCCACACTGACTGACACGCTCAGAGAGCTTCAGGGTCTGGCCACCAACCAGCCCTTCTTCTGGGAGGCTCAGGCCCCGTGAGTCCACAGCCAGGTTCCAGGGGGCAGGGCAGGCAAGGCATAGGGTTGGGGGTCACACTCAGCAGAGGTTATTGCCCACGGATGGTGTGGGGCATGGGCTCCGTTCGGCAGTAGGGGAAACTGAGTCCACCCATCCCCAGGGTGCGTACGGTGGAACAGCTGGACCAGCGCTACCTGTTGGTGCCTGAGAAGGTCAAGGATGCCTATCTGGTCCACCTGATTCAGAACTTCCAGGATGAGCACGAGGACTGGTCTATCATCATCTTCACCAACACGTGCAAGTGAGCATGGGCAGGTCTGCCCCTCTCCTCCCCCCAGATCTCCTCCCATAGCTCTTTCTGAAGGCCCGAGAGGTATGAGGCACACAGCCCGTCTTGGCATTCCAGGGCCTCTGCTCAGACCAGAGATTTCAGAGGATTTGCTCAAGGAGGCCCAGAGAGGTCAAGCAGTTTGCCGAGATCTCCCCTCGTGAAGGTGGAGCCAGGATTTAGGGCTTCTCACACCTGCTCTTAACCAAAAGGTCTAGGGGCCTCTGGCCCTCCCCGGAAAACCCCTGCAGCGGCTGGGAAGGCCTTGGAGCAGCCTCTCCTCTGTGTCTAGGGGTGTCACTAAGGCCTGGCATATCAGCTCCAGTACCCAGGGCTGTCCTCTCTACAGTCACAGAGGCCTTCAGAATCCTTTGAAGCTCCTGGGGAGATTGTCGGGAGGCTGTAGGCTATTCAAGCATGAGCCAGAGTAGATAACGCAGTCTACATGACATCGAGGAGACCTCCTAATTGGCTGCTGCCCTCCAAGAATGTATTGGCTACCAGAAAAGTCTGGATGTAGGGCCGGCTCTCATTGGTTTAGGCCAGGGAAGGGGTCGGCAGAGAGGACGTCAGCAGGCAGGATACCCCTCACCCCTGCTTCTCTTTTACCAGCCGTGCAGGGTCACCTACTTGTGGTCTTGGGGGTGCTGGGGCAAGAGTGCCTTCCCGAGGCCCTGGCTCTGCAGGGGCTGACAGTGTGTCTTTCCCACCAGGACCTGCCAGATCCTGTGCATGATGCTGCGTAAATTCAACTTCCCCACCGTGGCTCTGCATTCCATGATGAAACAGGTGTGGGATCAGGCCGCCCCTGAGACCCCCACCCCACCCCCAGCCTTGCCCTGGAGACTCGTCCCAGCCTCAGGGCCTTTGCCCAGGCTCTTCCTTCTGCCTAGAATACTTCCTGCCACCCTTTTGCCTCGGTGTGGCCTTCTCATGGGTGAGCCCTGTGAGGGTGGGACTGTCCTAGACTCCACCCTGTCCCAGGCCTCACACAGTAAGTCCTCAAACGCTTGCTGAGATGCTGCCTGATCCCCAATTCTCTCCCCAACGTGGCACCAGAAAGAACGCTTTGCTGCCCTGGCCAAATTCAAGTCCAGCATCTATAGGATCCTGATTGCAACAGACGTGGCCTCCCGGTGAGTGGCCCCAGGGTCTTCCTTCCCATGTGCGGGACCAGAGAGAGGGCTGACCTTGGGCAAGAACTGGGGCAGCCCCAGCTTCACAGCTGTGTGACCTTGGGTGAGTCCCCATCTTGGTTTCCACGTGTGGACAGGGGCCTGGACATTCCCACAGTGCAAGTGGTTATCAACCACAACACCCCCGGACTCCCGAAGATCTATATACACCGCGTCGGGCGGACAGCCCGTGCAGGTAAGTGGACAGGGCGGGGTGGCCCTTGGACAACTGTCCTTCCAACCTGCCCACACCATAAGAAACCAAAGTCACGGGCTGGTCGAGAAGATGTGGGGATATAGCCTGCAGGTGAGAGGCAGTGCTTAAAAGTTGGAAGAATC